GCGCCCATGAGTCTTGGGTGCAGCGGGTACATTGTTTCGCTGCTGGTGGTGACAAAGCGGGCTCGAGAAATGTGGTGCCATGTGACAGCATCCCCTTGGCACTCCTTTTATTCCTGTTGTATCAGCGGAACGAGCGGACTAAAGGCAAACGCTGCTCAGTTTCTGAACGCAGGTTTGATGACAACCGTTGTCCAGATTTTTTTTAAAGCAATCAGTGTCTTCTTGGTCCTGATGGCGCAAAGTGTGAAATTACTGACAAATTTTTCGATAAATTCCATTTTCAGAACTGTTTCTGCTGAGGTTTCAGGAGGCGGAAGGTGTGTACGATGGAAAGTAGAACTGTGCGTTGACGAAAAGTTGAGTTATAACTCATTACACTACGTCGAAACCTTTCCCTCAAATGAATTGTTGTTGCTTCAGCATGCCAATTAGATATAATTTTTTTTAAACCGTTGACACGAGTAACAAAGGGAGACTGAACAGCTGACCATAGTTTAGTACGCATTTTCTCGTATTTTACAGTTCAATTTACAGGGTACTGTACCGCAGAAAATGCATTCGAATAGTTTTTGTTCCAAGTTTGCAACTTTCATATTTGAACATAACCGCTATGGTAATCATAAAAATAACTCTGTATAATTATAATGAATTCGGGCAAAAATGTATTCCGGCTGTATCACCTGACAAAATGAAATTAAAGTTTAGCATCGACTAAGATACATTTTACCTTCTTGACCTATGTGCTTTCCAAATATGATAATATTGAATTTTTTCGATTTTATTTTTATTTTTTATTTTTCTAAAGGCCAAAACATTTTGAAATACGGAAAAATCTAGGCTTCAATGACGACATTGATCTTCCACTAAAATTATAAAAAATGAAAACAAGCTGTCATGCATCAAACTGGAGCTATATCGTCCGATTTTTGAATTATGTTTTCCAAATCTATCCGCAAAAATAGGCGGATCGATTCACTCTGATCCTGCATGGGCAACTCCCTGTGCATGTTTTTCAAGAATCATATCCCAAACGCTGTTCAGAGAGACTCTTTCTGTAAACACAGCGAAGGTACTGCGAAATAAATGCGAAGCATGGCTAAAAGTAGCATCTACTTCGCGGTCCTGGTCTCTGTTAGTGCCATGTACTTCTTATATATCGATGTTTACTTTAGCGAGATCTTTCCCGTATAATGAAAACTGCTTTCTCAGATTATTGCAGCATTCACAAGCCTTGCACTGCAATACCCTACATTCCTCATGCTTGTTTCATGATTACAAGCGGATTGCGCCGAGGGACGGTGTATCCCTTTCTTGAGGAAATAAGACAGGCCTTGCCTTGTTTGGTTTATCCGAAAGAAAACAACCCGCTAATATCCCTAGCTTACCAACAGGCTCCATATTGAATCATGTCCCTATTAATCAAGTACTGTATCGAAACTAATCATAAATGACGAACGCAGAGGCGGAACGCATGCAAATATTGTGCAATGAAGTATATTTGATCCACTACGATGTCTATACTTGTCAAAAAAAGAAAGGAAAAAATCAATGGAACATATTTCTTCATGCCAGTATTCTTTTAACTTCAATTCACGCAGAACCGTTTTTCAGAGAAATGAGGTGATTTTGACAAGAGCGTATATTTGAGATTTGGCTCATATTAAAAGAGGTAATTAAAGTACGGGTAGGGTTTATTTCTTAATTTGAAATAGGTCGTGTTTTCGAGAAATGCGGTATTAAATGGCGTAACAAGAATACCCAAAAACGCTTTCGCTTGAATAGAAACAACGCTGATGTGAAAGGAAAAGGAGCGGTTTACAATAAAGAATCATGGTTTGACGAGCGAAGAAGCTTTTACAACATTGAGAATTGATTGAAACACGGGTGATGTGCCAGAGGAGAATTAGCGAGTATTACTGCAGTGCTAAAAAGGAAAACTATTCAGCAGAATCATTCGATACCATCGGCGCCGTGCATTTCCGGCAAGTTTTCCAGGAGGATTGGATAAAAGCCGACCGTTGTTACGACAAACCGAATCAGCATCTCTTGACAGGGATTTGTGAGCCCAATGAGTTTCTTTCACAATGCCGGGAATTGTTTCGCGATGCATCTTTCCGAATGAAAATCCCCTGCTTTCTTTTCAGTGCAGACAGCCTGTCTCGTAGTTCCGTATCTCCGGTACGACATCTTTCAAGGACGGGCAACACAAGCACATCCTTTCTCGGCGTTACGTGACCATCGGATATACACGAGAGAGAAGCGGGTGAAATTTCGTCTCCGGGGTTCTTCAGAAATCCTGGCGAAGTTCCGGGGAGCCCAGGGGCAAAGGCATGTTCTGCGCCGTTTGCGTCCTGCTCGTCTTTCCTCCGGAATTTTTGTCTCGGAAAAGCGTCGGAGCAAATGGGGAATCTAGGCTGGAGCAGAGGGATAATGATCGCGTAACGATCCGTGACAGAATTCTTCTAGCGGTAGAAAGAACCCACCGAAGTTTCTCAATGGGGATCGAAGCTCCTGCCCTTTGCTTCTACGCCAGACTCCCGCCTATTCTTGGAAGTTCCAGGTTCCTATCCTTCTTCTAGCTTCTCCGGGACCTATTCGTCATCAAGCAGTCGGGTTACGAAGGCGTAGCCCTAAAAGCTTGCTGTTCTTGTCCATGAATGCTGTTCAGTTTCGCAGAGGGGCGTGTTTCGTCATGAATATTCCGACTGGGGCTTTAATCGCCTCGGCGCTCCCTCTTGTCGTGAGCTAGTCGCCGGCGAGCCGCACTAAATATGGCTGCGCCTTTGGTAAGAAGTTTTCTTATAAAGCTCGTCTAAAGCGGAAGTGCTTTAAAGGACCGAGTACGGTTGTTTTTTTAGCAAGACCTTTTTAATCGGAAGAAACGAAATTCTAGAGTTTATCTCGCTCTTGTAAGTCAATGCATTACTGAATTTAGCTACTCATCTCCGAAGTTGCCTGGGCAGCCTTGCAATCAGCGACCATTTTTACAATGCAATGAGTCTCGAAAGGAATCGATTGAATCCCTGGCACCCACATGTTAAAAAAAGTGCAACTGAAGCAAACAAAGTCTTGAAGACATTCTAGCACGAATCTGGTGAACTTTCACCAGCACCATCAGCAAAAATCGAGTACAGTATTCATAATCAAGTGCCACAGAAATAAGCGCGCCATTCTTGAATTCTACTGTGATGTTGCAGGAAGGGGACAAGCGTTTCAAAACTTCAATTAAAAATAAAGGAATTTATATAGGAGCACAATTCGTCCAGAAAGCTTTTCGTCATTCCGTCATCCCATGTTCATTCAATTTTCTACGAATATTCAACCTTGCAGACTTCTTTGCATTTTTCAGATTAAATTTGAAACGAAAACAAGAAGAAAACTTGGAAAGACAGAGCATCTGAATACAGTGCAATATTTACTTTACAGTATTTGACATTTTCATCTGCTGTATACTGAAAAATTGTGCAACTGATGTTAGCAAATGCTCAATTCGAAAAAATTATATCCTAGACAGATTACCGTGGATGTATTGACCATGTTCCGACCATTTTTTTTAATTAAAATTGCTCAAAATATATGTCAACTCCCAGCCAAGAAATTGCTCCAATCAGGGCTGGAGTTGGAGAGCAATATTTAATGCTATTTTCAAAGATCCTGAATCTTAAATGCCCAAAGAAAAGCCTGACATATAACTTGTCTTCAAATTTTTAAAGTTTGTGGGATTATAAGATAAAATATATTTTGTAGTGAAAATGTGAAATACAATATAATCGACAGAAATTGAATGACCACGTACATAAATAATACACGTGGACTCTCTCTGCCAATAAATTCAAGCGATAGGAGGCAATTCGTCATAGAAAGAATGCCGTTGCAGGAAAACCCTATAACATGGAGAGAGAATCCTTTGGGATCATAAAAAAAAATTTTATACAGTAACAAAGAAAATCGGTGTATAGGCAAGATTTTTGTAGAGGGAATCCACCTATAGTAATTTGTGAAGCACATCTTCCGTTCACTTAAAGTTTAACGTCTAATTATTGGGTCGTCCCTTTTATCCTCTGACTCATTGGGAACTCGTATGTAAAAAGTCTTCTAAGGGCTCCTTGAACTTATGAACTTTTGTACCATGTCATCTTGTAAACCGCTACTTCGCGAGTGCTTTCAGGTGCTACGGTATTTGTGGTACGCATTTTTCTGAATATTCAAATAAATTCTTTCATGTTGATTAAAAAAATCATTGTCAAAGCACCGCCTTTCAAGGCCCGGAGAACCGGACCCGCACAGATAATGCAGTGAGTACTGTACGAATATTCATTCTCGTAATTCTTCATAAGAAGAGTGCCGAAAAAGTTGTAAAAAGTCAGAGAAATTCCCTTTTAGCCACATTATACTCACCAGTGTCTACGTTCCTCCTCGAAAATGACGGGTACCTCATTTCCTCTTGCCAAATCGAGGGTTTGTCGAGTGAATCATGTTGAAAACGGATATTAATGTCTATAAGCGTGGTGAAAAGTAAAAGTTGGAATAATCTTCCCGACAAGAGTGCCTCTCGAAGATGCCCAAGGAATTCGATTTGCTGACAGTAAATCCGAGCAAATTTTCCACGGAGTCCGAGCGATATTTATACTGTACCTGTAAATGAATCGTGCATATTGTCCTGTTCTAACACAAGAGCTTCAACAATCCTCGTTTCGTCGTTCCGTCAATGTTAGCCGAATGCTTGGGGGCATGAGCTTGCACATATGACTGTCAGATCGGTGTGAGGCAATGCTGGCTTTGCATTGACAGGTTTACGAGTCGGCCGCCTTTCGCACGAGCTTCATAGGGCGGATATATCGAGGTCGCGTAACGCATGTCGCGGGTCGCCTGGGCGGCGGTGCCCGTTGTCCGCGATTCCGGTTCGGCACGTGAACGCGCCCACCGACAATGACAGCTGACCGTTGTTATTACGCTGAAGGACATGCTTTTTACTAGAGTCCCGGCACATACAATAAAAAAAAGCAGACACACGGAATAAAAGGCCGGGGATGCTGCAGAAAAGTGGAGCGGAGGCGACGAAGCGAATAAACGCATGAGACGCGTCGGGGTAGTCAAGGTTGAGGATTCGCCTGCACGCCACCCGAAGCGCATTGTATCACAGCATTTCAGGGTCCGCGTCCCGGGTTCAGAACGTCGTCGCTGCCTGGACTTGTTCCGCGAATGTGGCCTCGTCCGGGTTCACGGGGCAGTGGTTCCCGTTGTTGGGTTCTCTGCTGGCATGAAACCTGCAACACGGGTTCGAGCTACAAGTAATTTCCACCATCCTCGCGACGGTGACAATCATCGAAGTCCGCCGAGTTCGGAATGAGATCAGTTAAAAACAAATATCAGAATGGAAAAATGCCAATGAGAAAATGACGGGAGAAAACATTCAGTTGTCACCTACCATGTGTTTGTTTTGCTTTGTTTATGGTGCACTGAATGATGAGATCAAACATAAACCCTGTAGGCGGAAAATTCGCACTAATTGCATGGCGGCCTATACTAGAAAATTTCAAGGACTAGTATAGGCCGCATCTGCTATTCGTGGCATTTTTCGGGTGAAATGTCGCGGTTTAATGGCGTAAATACAATAAAAGGTGTTCACTTATTAAACTAATGACTTCTTGACCATCATAGACAATTTGAAAAATATCATTGCATGCAGAAGAAATCGTAGAAAAGAGAGTCCCATTATTAAATACGATGATTGTTCCACTTCAAGAGGTGCACAAATTTCAGCAGTTTGTGCATGTCCATGCACAACATTTCGAAAATAAAAAAAATGGAGCTGAGACTATTACGAATGATTTCCTTCCCACTATTAAGCCATTTTTTCCTATGAACGAAAACGATTAACCACATGATATGCTACGCATAAACAACTTTCCTTAAAAACCGTAAATTTATGCCGGTCCTCGGACATTTGCGTGAAGCGTTTCGTACCGTTAAAACCAGTAAACAAAAATTTAAAGTAGAGACGATCAGAAGTATTCCTCCTACGTCAAAACTCGGCATCGCGGTCAAAAGTATTCCTTCCCTTTGTAAGCTTGTAAACTTTATTTGATGGCTTAAATCGGGGATTTACAAAGAGATGGTTCAACCGTGATTTTTCAGTCAGCATTAGTCAACATTGGTTCAGAAACTTACGAGTCAGCATGGAAATTAATTAAATTTCACTCCTTGTCTTCATTTGATCATTTACTCGTACAGTATATGCCTCGCGCATAAACCTGAAAAAGTTCAAGGGGAGAAAGGCGTGCCTCTCGCATGAAAACACCCTTGTATTTGCTTCTATGATAATTTTGTCGCGATTTTATTTTCAAAAACAACGATGTGCGAAATACACAAAAGTGCTCAAGGACATACAATTATTGCATGAATAAATAAGGTACACCTCGACGAGGGCTTAATCCTTCCGGTGAAATGCCACATTCCTGCTTGAAGTGAAACTATACTGGGAAAGCGTGCGCTGTAAACTTTTTTTTAACCGGAGTTCATTTGCAGAAGAAAATTAAAAATTAAGAAGAAATGAAGAAAAGACAGCGTGATGAGTTCGTAATGGCTTCAAGTTTCGTCCCTAATAAAAATTCAGAATCAATGCAACTGGACCTTAGTGACTTGAACCAACTTGACTCCAACAATAAACTCCCTTTTAAAGTTGTAATACAAATTATATTTAGTCCACGTTAAAAGTCCCTGAAGAACAGCGTAATTTAGAACTCCCTAACTTGAAGGCTTCTCCATTAAGCTTCCAAAAAAAATTTCCTTCAGCCATTTCAGCTAATATTGCTTGGGGCCAAGGAAATAATAAAGGATCAATAAATGTACAACGGGATGCTTTTCATCTGGAATGTGTGAATAATTGGGCAAACGTATGCTTGCTTTGAATTATCCCATAAATTCATTCACCCAATGATTTGAGGCATATAGAGGATCACGAATTTTTAATTTCTGCAATTCCAGCAAAGACTACCGATTTCTCTCACTCAAAAACTCACAGAGTTGAATTTATCTCTGGGTTTCTCTGAGTTCAACTCAAGGGGGACTTTACAATTTACAGTGAGACCCCGACATACGTACTATTCAAGGTGTGGGCATGTGAAACTTAAAAAATATGCCCCAAAATCTAAAGTATCTAGACACTGTCATGACATATGAACACTTTTCCAACATTTATAGAAAAATGGGAAAACATTATGTTTGCAAATTTGGACATCTCTTGAACAAATCAAGTTATTTTTATTCACAAAAATTAAAATGGAATATCATTTTAAATGTATAACCGTATTTATAATAAAAAAGGATAATTTTGGGTTTTTGGGAGCATTTTCCATCATCTGTAAAATGTACTGCAAGACTTTTACTTTTTTTCTCTTGGATTCTCTTGACGATGCAAGAAGATCAGATAAAGTGTGGTTCTCTCCAGCATAGTTATAGTATATTGCATTCCGGGCATTTAAGTTGAGAAACACATTTTATTCAATTTTTTTAAAGATGCATTCATAATTTTGAATGAACTGGAGAACCAATTGTATAAGTTCCCATTGAAGTCTCAGGGAAAACATGATCCAACGTACACAACATTCCGACCTAGGGACAAGATCCACGCCCCAATTACGTCCGCATCCCGAAGTCTCACTACAGTATGTTTGCGATCTGCTTGCTTTTTTTTAAACGAGCAATAAGACTACCATCAGGAAAGAGGAAAACCTTTCGGGTTTACCTTGTGAAGTCACCCTTGCAGGCCAACCAGGGCAGGATGTCGACGAATCTGTGCAGCGACGGCGAAATTTCCGGCGACACGTAGTGTGGGCTCCCGGCGCCGGATCCTCGGGTCAGCAGCGTGTTTGCTCTGCAGGGAAATAAACCGGGCTCAGCAATCATCGCCTTGTCTCTGCACTCCCACTAACGAGCTTCCTCCAGATCAAAGTCCTACTCTTCTGCTCGTCCTACTCGTCGTTCGCATTCCCACGACGTGGAGGGAAAGAGAAAAATAAATTCCTCTAGCCTCGGGTCGAACCTCAAAAAGAATGCCATGAAAGCGTGCCTGGGCTCTAAGCAAATAGCTGGGAACCATCCTCCAGGATTCTTTTCCTCGCTCTCGTTAAAATCCCTATGGCCTACACGGCTGTCAGCAATTCGTAATTACCTCGAAGCTTTCTACCGAGTTTCTCCTCGAAACAGCGAATGTCGCATACACATTCGCCTTTGATTCATAACATGCAGTTCTTTCAATTTTGAAGCATTCGAAAAATTCTACACCGGCTTAAAAATCCATCTTGTACAAGAAAAAATAATCGATTTAATAAAATAATGCCTCAAATTGACATGGTATCTCTGAAACCGGGTCTTAAATAATCAATTACTGTTCTGGTGCGCAGTCGTGGAAAGCAGATTATCCGTTGAGAAAATGTTTGTTACATTCATGGTTCAACCTTCGGTCTTGAAAAATCGGATCAGCATCAGGAAAACAGTGAATTTAGCACACACGTGCGTCTTTGATTTATAACATCCCGTTTTTTCAACTTTGAAGCCTTGGCAAAATTCCGCACCTGGGTAAAAATCCATCTTGGTAAACACAAATTCTCAACTCCATCAAAGAAGACTCCGATATAAATTGGTATCTCTGGATCCGGAAACTGGGTCTTATATGATCAATTACCGCACTAGTGAGCAGTGGAAAGCAGATTATACATTGAGAAAATATTTTTTACATTCATAGTTCAACTCTCCTACTTGAAAAATTGGATCAGCAGCATCACAATAGCAGCACAACTAGTTTTAAAGCGATATTTTTGGAAGTGAGGATCTCATTTTGAACGCAGTGCTTTTTCGTTTCTGTCCAAGAGTTGCACAACAAATGCAGTACATTGTACTCTGCATTGAATACAAGTATATTTAGTTCTGGATCCAAAAGAAAATTTAGAGAAGGAAGTTTTTCTCTGCATACAGAGCGCAGGAATGCTGTAGCGATTTAACGCTTCTTCGGTTTTCAACGGGAAGTCTTACATTCAATAGTGAACAATCCCCGTATTATTCCGAATAATTGATGTTCCTAACGGAAGACTTCATTCCGAAGCCCCGAAAGTTTTTCAATAAGACCTGGAACAAGTTTTCAAGAAACGCAAGCACGCGATAACGACCACTAATTATCCCGTTAACTATGATGGACTTTCACTCCCGAAACCGCTCAGGACAATTACAGGAGGGTTTTCTAATTGCTCTTTGGGGCAAATCGTGAGTCCCTCTCGCGGCTTAATGACTCCTGCACTCAACGGACACATTATTCCAGGAAATTCTAGTGGCTGCTGTAATCATAACGGAGAGATCACCTGCTTGCCATCGTGCTCAGCACTGAACAACACTGAACACCGCGGAAGTAGGTCGTGTCAGACTCTTGAAAATGCGTGCAGAAGTGCACCGGGAAATTTCAGCCGAAACTTCCGTGTCTTGTTTCGCGATTTACGAGGTTTCAGCAGTACCGCATAACTAACCTACGCGAAAATCTATTAGTCTTGCTGATGGATGTTCGGTATCTTGTTTAGTACATGGATCCCAGTGACAACAACGTCGGAGGTGATGTTTGAATACCCGCATCATAACAACTTCGGTAGAATTTAATCCTTCAACGCCAAGGAATTCAGAAAAAAACCACACTTGGGCAAATACAAAAGCTTTCTGCTTTCATCGGGTTCCCCCAAAAGTGATCATTAAAAAGAAGCCGGAAATTTACGAAAGAATCAAACTCTTATTTTTTTCACATCTGTGATTAAGCAGCCACCGGAATCCTAACCGTAATTGTCCTCAATAAGAAAAAACTCATCGAAGTTTTGAAAATTCAACGTGACTGACTTAGTTCCGCTTGTTTTTCTGGAGAAAGGTCGTTTAAAAACTGTTCCATGATAATTTATATCCTGTAACAATTAAGCAGTTTTAGAAAGTTCAAAGAAAGCAGGAAAAATCGGGAAAATGCCTTCCAGGCGGGGTTAGTGATACTGCGACAGGAATCTCGAATTCTTTCGCAGATGATGGAATCTGTTTTCCTCTCGTGCTACACTGATGAAAACAGTTTTTGAAAAAGTCTCACGCAGGCCGGAAATGCAATACATTAATTTAATAATTGCAAAGTACGATACTTCAATCGTGACTTGCTACTTCTAAGTCATTTTAAGCCACGTGTACAACGACACGTGGAAAACCTATACGTCCAAAGACTTACACATGTCCGGAAGTGCGTGATACTTCTTTGTCTGCATTGGTCATCCTGTACGATTCATTTAAATTTCACCATTGACCATAATTTAAAAGATCGTGGAATGCTTTAAATTTTAATCTGAAGTTATATTTTTAAAAATAGCTGAAACAATCTGAAAACAAAAGAAATTGTTCGCTGGTTCATCCACCCTGTATACTCGTATGCTGTGGCAAATGTAAAAACGATTTGCATCAAGCTCAACTTCGCTTTCACCACTGCACTCGCTGTGATTATTTACTCTCAACGTGTCTGCATCACATCACACTAATTGTGATCAATGCAAGAATAACAAACTTTAATTCCTTATGCCCGTGTCAAATTTTTCCGAAAGAAAACTATGAACTGATGAAAATTCAAAGTCGGCTTGGAAGTAATTTAGCGATTTGTCAGCAGCTATACGCAGATATGATTCTAAAACTGACGGAAAGATTCCTAAAATTTTTTTTTGACAAATCAAGTAAACCTGAATTTGGCATGTATAGTAAAGAGGCATTTTCAAAATAACGGGAATCTATAATCTTTAATGCTTAATAAGCCTCGTAATACGATCACGAGTGAAGTCTTTTTCCGGTGCTCTTTCGCCAAAGAAAACGACACAGAAAATTTACAATTTATCTGGAACCTCGAAGTGAGAACAGCGAGCAATGTATGAAGACGTCCAGAAAAAAATGGAACTATATTGGAAATTAGCCTAGCATCGGCGAGCATAATTTAAATTTATTTCAAATGGTGAACATATCTTTATGCTTCAGAAGTCATGATGGAGTGAACCGAGCAATCTTGTGTGCACAGAGTATGAGCTTTCACAGAGAAGAACGAGCACGAGGCAAAATGAGCCCCGACATTCACTAGGAACAAATCGATTTTTTTATTCAGTATGGGGATGCGTACGAAAAATTATAAAAATACGAAAGATCAATTAAAATCAGCCTGTATTCGGGGAATATAATTTGAACTTATTTTGAACAAAAGAAACCAGTATTTTCAAGTCATTTGACCGATTCTATGTACATAGCCTCGCTGTTTCAGATGGGAAGGTTCTCTTCATTCTTCAAAAACAAATCGAATGAAAAATAATGAATGCGAATGTTAGAAAAAATGTAAAATCAAAAAATAAAAAAGAGTTTGAAATTGGAAAAACATGACGTACAAATATTTTAAACAGGGGGACATCCGTACTTTCAACTTTAGCGAACGATCCAATACTGCGCATAACCTTGCATTTTCACAAGAACAGGAACAAGTAAAAAACCGAAAGAACCCCTGATGCATCCTCTCAGGGAAAATTGCTCGAAGAAAGATGAGCGTTAAAAACAAATACTATATGAGGAGAACGTTGAGAAATTCAGAAATTAATTAAATTGAGCATGATATCGGACAGTACAAGTTGAAAATATATAAAAAAAAAGTGAGTCCCTCATCCCAAGTCGCATAAGAACACCCCTGCAATGTCATCAGGAAAGGAGAGAGTACAATAAGCGTACGCAGAAACAGTAACTCCGTAATCCCCAAAAGAAAATCGCACCAATGAAAAAAAAAAGAGGCGAAACCTGTATATTCAAACGTAAAGAGAACCTTTCAACGCATGAGAAATAATGAAAAGATCTAGAATCGGGAAACATCATTGGAAGACATAAAAAAACAGGAAATCCCTCTCTATTTTGAGTTGTGCAAGCGATCCTTTGTGCACAACCTTGCATTGTCATCAGGACAGGAACGAGCACAGTACTGTACAATAAAACAGCAGAAAGAGAGTTCTCCAAGAGCAAATCGCAAAAAAATAAGAAGAAGAAGAAGCGATAGATGCAAACGTAAGGAAAAGCTCACTCGTCGTAGCAACAGTTCTGGACGCTGAGTCCGGTCCACTTGTGTCGGTCGACGGATGATGACAGAGCGGGCTCGGAACGGATGCATCTGGCAGCGCCGGGATTGTATATATCCAATTTTCCGTCGAGCAGGGAGACATCTTTCCACCGGGATTGTCCCGCTCTCGACGACGCTGTCGAGTATGTGCATGGGCAATCGGGCAGGGCGTCCACTCCGGTTAATTCCCTCAAGGCGTCGTCAGCTGGGCATCTGAGCCATCGCTCACACACGTTTCCTGCGCGAGACACCGCAATCCCCGCGTTTCATATCGTTCACACAAATCGTGTCCTGCTCATCATCGCCCCTCATCATTCCCGTCTTGCCTACAGTTAAACGCGTGTTCGGGCTACGTATACACTATGTGTGGCTCTCGTTTCCACGCTCCAGCGCATCCACATAACCCATCAATATCATAATATCATATCACTGCTTGACTCACAGAAAAGGGCAAGTCGGATTCTGAGAACCTTAGGAATACTCACTTATAAGTTCATCATCTGAAGTACCCATATTTACTAGAGTACCAGCACACCTTTTTTCAGAAATTAAGGCAGAAAAGTACGGTGCGCGTGATATTCCGTGAATAAATTGTTTTCGAGAAAATATTCCAAAAACAGTGAGTGTCACGTGTGTGTACTTTTAAGGGAATAATGAAGATGAAATGTATGGCACGAAGTCTCCTTGTTCGCAAGAAATAATGGTTGAAGCAAGAACTGTTTCGAGAAGACATAACAGATTGCTTCTCCGATGATCCTGTCTGTTGGAGATGCAACAGGATGGGGAAAATATTCTTCTAATAAAGGAAGCTTCCCTTTGAGTATAATCACATTTTTTAATGCTGCAGTAATACACAAATAAACAGGAAATAAATATTTTAACATGGATGGAAAATTTCAGCCAATGAAAACTGTGATTTGGAGCGTATGTTACGGGTTTTTTTGAAAAATTTTACATGAAAAATGGGGGTGCATACTTTACTCAAGGCCTTGTGGTACTTGAGTAAATATGGTATACAAGCAGCAAAATATCCTTACAACACACTTTTGGGGACTTGAGGAAAAGTTTGTTCTACTGAATCCTTGTTCATAATAATATTTTCAAAATTAATGACTGGAAAAATGTTCGCACCCGACTTGGCCATAATCCATGAGATCTTGTTTTTATGACATTCTCCGATTTTATTTATCACTGTTTGAAAAACTGAGTGAGCGCCTGAGAAGAAATTAGCTTCAATTATGCATTCCATCCGTTGCGCCAATCTCCTCAATTTTGAAGGATGATGTGTGGAACTACATGGAAGGGTGTTCCTCGTTGATTACAGCTTCCATCCATGCTTTGAGAACCCATCCGTCACATTTGATACCAGAAATTTCAGACAGTGCCTGTCTTAGTCAGGAAATTTCTACCTGAGAATCTATTGAAAATTCCTGAAACATGTTTGTTAAACTGGAATTGTTTCAACATTCACTCTAAGAGCTTTCTGCCAGGACTTGAGACAAATTTTGTCCTTCATGAAGAATTTTTTGCGATGGCGTATGTAGTCATGGAATATTAAAGTATATGACTCAATCCCTAAAAAAGATGAACTTCTGCAAACGCCTCCGACCTCATTTTTTTTCAAAATCTCATTCGAAAAACAAAAGCTGTACCTCAAAGTTACCGCGGTGTAGACACGGTGATGGATGAGACTAGTTTCCTGGTGCTATCCGGTAACGGACGATTGCGTTATATTATCTCATACGACCCCTGATCCCATATTTGCTCCAAAATATGGTAGAAATTTGGAAGAACGCGTGGGAAATATTTCATGCCGCATATATTACGCTTTTATATAGGAGGATATGGGCCAGAAGCTGCCTTATAGCATTTAGGGCTAAGAATCTCTTGAAGGATCGTAGGGAATCTGCTAGAAATCGTACATGAAGGTATGCAGCATTTTTGAATACTGTATTTTCCTCTTACACTTGCTTACACGATGAGATTGCAGTAATACTTAATGAGTTTTCAACATTCAAAGTTCCTTTATATTTGATAGATCCTTTCAATTTGTCGTCTGTCGCTAAGGTAAGAACCGAAGTTGATGAACTAATGCAGGAGTGAATCATGCGATGACGATTAGCTGAAGTCCCGTACGCGTGGCAAGGGAATCGGAAAATCATTGAAATGCTGCACAACAACTGCTAATAAACTTCTGTTTGTGTATATGTTCCTTTACTTTTGTTCATAAATGCCTCCAAGCATATAGTCAAAGAGGCAATTTCACTTGAGCAGAATTCCCCGAAGCTTTAAGATAAGGAGTGTTTTTGGTCAACTGAATTATCTTGCAGTGATTGTTCTGCCTTGCATGAAGCTTCTCTCATCGTCAGCACATGATCAAAACTGCTGCACAGTTATATGGTTAAATTTCTTCATTTCCTTTCGTAACACCACGGCAGTCAAAAAATTCGCGAGCAACGTATAGGGCCCGAATTTGAAACTCTTTAAAGACAAAAATAATTCCGTGCAATGCTTCTTCACGAGATCGGAAATATTTTCTGAGGTACTCCCGAAAATTAGTCCTCGGTGTGATCAAGTTATTTTTCACCGTGTTAAACCATCCGAAAGTGACTGCTGTGTGATGCCATAGGAAAACTTGGCATCAGACAAAAACGAAAAAGGAATATTGGACCAAGTGAGGCGAAGAAGGCCTTCTAGCAAAGATGAGAGCTCAGTCCACGGGGTCGATACGACATCTGACAACCAAATAATTACGACTCTAATGCTCTCGGGGGGTCGCAGGGGCGACGGGGCACATCTCTGTACAAAATATGCAAGCCATGCGTGAAAATGGACTCGAGATATTCTGATGCCATTCGATCATTCCGCACTGACAGCTAATTTTCTAGATTTGCTGTCCCCAGAGACGGAAACCACAAAAATCGTGCACGACGTTTTTCGTCGACGAATCCTGACTTTAAAAACATTACGAATTCTGCAACGTCGTGCATAAATAACAAACGGAAGTTCATGCTTCGCAGCCACTAACAGCTGCTTCGCCTCAAACTTTTGGCACACACTCAGGACAAAGACCCTTAATCACGAAATCCCCGGGTTGTTGCCGTCCAACACGCTCATCATGGAGGGATGGAAAGTTCTTGTCGGAAAGTAAAGAGCGTCTCTAGTCAAAATCAAGTTCCATGATATTGATTCTAAGCGTTCCCGTGCGTGCCCAGCCAGCTCAACCGGAAGGAAGCTAAGTAATGTTTTCGAGCTCAGGGGCCTGTATATTCGCTCGTTATCGTACTTCGTGAAGCGAAGAACGACTTCTGTTATCTTTTCCTAACCATTTTCATGGGCACCTTGACCGAATTTACTTGAGTACGTTCTCAGAGAAGTTCGCTTGATTTTAGCACAGTACAGTTGAACCTGGATAACTCGAACCTTCCAAAGTCGAACACCTCCCTATGCCAAAAAAAATTTCAAGTACATTTCTCTCTGAATTTCCTTAGAAACCATGCATTAAAAACCCCTAACTGAGAATCGTTATCTTTACACCTCCACAACTGCAATTTTTTGGAGGTCTTTTGGCTATTAATTTATCGGCATATAGGAAAGAGGAACGCAAAAATTTTAAGAGGATGTATCCTGAAAGAAAGTAGAAGACTATTTGGGCAAATGAGCCCGAGCCTCCAAGTTTAGCATCCTGTCAACTTATTCAAGAAGCAATTTAAAGCCCAGAATATCACCATAATAACCATTTCCAATAATTATTCTTCCTGTCCACATACAAAAATGATCGTTTCCTTCTCTCAAAACTTTCGTGCTGTTCCCTTGAAGTTTCGACTAAAATAAGATATTTGACAGTAAGCCTAAAACTGAGGATGTCCGCTTTTTCTTTTTACTCATGCAAACATTTTTGGTGAAAAAAATACACGACGATGAATCGAATTTTTTGATCAATCACAATGCGATAAAAAGGAAAAAATGTCTTGATTATGGAATTCGTCGATAGTACGTACTGTATTTATAGTAGGAAAGCACTTGTTTTAAATTTTTAAAAATGTGCTCGTCCTCAGCAACTTTGGTTTTATACCTTATTTCAAAGAATTCTCTCATCACATGCCACCCATGAAAAAAACTTAATTTTAAAAGTTACAACACCAAAATGTTGCGTACTGCTGTACCTGGACCACAAAGTATTTCTATACACGAGTGGGTAGAACAAAATATTTTCTAACCAGTAGTGATTAATTACAGAAGTTACGCAGAAAGTTACAACGTTGGGAACAACGGAACGATGCATGATGAAATCAGTGCACGCAACAGGGATACGAGTCTGGTATGGACCTTCGTACCTGTGCAACAATATGTGTAAAAGCGTGGAACACGCTCGGCTTATAGAATCAAGCTTCTCTAAGCCTTTGCTCATTTCAGATCCCCACATAAAGCCGAGAAGCTGGATAGGACTCCCTGGCTTGAGACTCGAAGCTCGGAGAATTAGATATATCCTCCGCAAATGGGAATGTCATCACAAAGAAGCCTCATGAGATTGAAACTTGACTATTTCTGTCGGGCCGTAGCTCTTACTATCCACACATACAATCAAACGAATTACGAAATAATATGCGTTCATGAAATTCATCATATATCTCCGACAAAAGCAAAAAAAGTTGAAATTCTCGCACATCGACAGAAATGAAGAGCGTTGAGTTAATTAGCTTCTTGAGACCTGGTCGAATTCAAAATGCATGCGCGAAATTCTGAACCCTCTGGAAACTAATCTGGATAAATAAATTACAGTACTTGTTCAAATAAATTTCTTTAATCGATTTATTAATAAACTCCGACTCATATACAGTATCCTTCTTCACTTTTGAATAGACAATGTAGCGTCGGAAACATTGGTGCACTCTATCCGCAGCGATTTTTTTTTTAAATTACACTATATACTCTATACATTGCTTTTGTCTAGATCCGAGTCCCGACAGACACTGGTATTCTCTGTACAACGAACTATGTTTCAGTTTTCCGAGTTTAACTGTCGAGATATATCTTTATACCGTAACACATAGTTACGATGAATCTCCTCGCATCGCATCAATGCTCACAGATAATTTGTATTTTTTTCGGTCCCTGTCCAATAGCCGCAATTTTCATGAATTTCTTTCTAACGCATTTTCTTTTCAAACTAAGCCTTCTTAAAGGTCCAAACGCTTCGTTGAGACGAGATTCTGCTGTATTCGATTTTAAAATGATCCGGGAGAACTTACCTTAATTCTTTGGAAATGCATTCGTCGCAGGCGAATCATAACAAAACCTTCACAGAACTCTAAGTACGTTCTCCAGTTGAAAAATTTTTTTAATAAAATTTAGTTCAGCCGATTTGGTGGATGGCGAAATCTCGGCTTTTGTTGGCCTCAGTTTGCATTTCAACCGGGCGTCAGAACAGGAAATAAGTACGCACGCCGTAAATTTTGAGCACGTTACGCTGACGTGAGGTGTCCAACATAAATCATGAGCAGTTCAAGCGCACCTAAGACAAAGGTCTGCATGAAGGGCCCCCTTTTTTTTTTATATCACAATACGCTTGTATTTCTTGTTTTCCATGCTTTTAACGCATGATATGAATTTGATTTACTTGCACAGCGAAGGTAACTTCTCATCGAGGACTGCGCTGGTTCAGTCTCCCGTCTCCACACAGAGCAAAGAACGTAAAATCCGAATGCTTACGCTTAGTGTGTGTCACAAATAAAATGGTGTATGACGCAGGTCGTTTATTCCGTTTTATTACAAAAAGAAAGGAGCAAAGCATTATGGTTTTTTTTCAATTCAACCTGGCTCACAGATATGACAATTGCAACATATTTTATCGATTCCTATCGTGGATTTCAATCTTCAATTACTGCATATTTGTTTATGCATGCATTAAACGTAAACTAAGAGTACAATGCAGCACAAAAAAGATGGCGTGCTGCGAGATTTGTACGACCTTTTTCTATGGGTAATTTTTTTCATCCTCCCATGTGGGATGTGTGTGTTTTTTTTTTTTTTGCCGCGTGTATCTTTTACAAATTTAAATGTCTCCAGAAAAGATGAAATTCCCTTTACTTCGAATACCTGTATAGATGATGACGCAAACGAGAGAAAGATTATGTTCTTCTCATTTTGTTTATCCTTCAAAGTTATTTGTTTTCCGGAAGTTCTGCAGGCGTGTGCCGACGTAACAGGAGTTGGAAAACACTCCATCGATGATGAATTTATATTTTTTTGAAGGAGCACAAATTCGAATACAGGGATAACATTTCAAACCTACTAATTTTATATCGTGTGTAAGGCACTGAAACATGACATGTGTTTACGAAAATTTAGTGTTGCTGCGAGGAAAGCAGGGATAAAAGAAAAAATACGCTACGGTCAGCTATAGTGAAAGTTCAAAGCTTCAATTTTCTGCGATTTCATGAATCTTAAAATTTTAAAATACTTTTCCACATTTTTTCGAACCAAAAAGTAGCACCAATTCCGTAATATCCCACGGCATGACGCAAAAATGCAGCTGTCCTATAGAAATACTCTTGGTAATTTTTCATTTCATAGCTGTGTTAATGAGTGACCTTCCTAAACTGAGAATTTCGTAAAGTATATTATCATTTACAAAAAGTATTGTAATAAATTGCTTCCTCGCAAGCACGGTTGCGATTGAAAATCGTCGAGGAACTTCGTGACGAAATTTCATTGATCGAGGGAATGGTCGATTAGCTTGGGACATCACGTTCTTTCTTCGTCAAGATTGCTGGCTTCAAGTACCATGAATTAGAACGGCCCTTCGAGTTTCCCGCAGATTATTCCAACCCCCACCCGCGGGTTTTGGATGGATGCGCCCCGTTATACCGCGTTTTGCTCGTATATACACCCACGCTATAGGCTATATAGTCATAGATTCTTACAGGCCAGGGGAACATGAATTCGGGCAGAGTCTACTTGAAAATAAAAGCGGAAATAGCCTTCAGGCTTTCACGGCGCATTTTCTCACCTTTGGAAGATTCCGATTCCGAAGATTCATCCAGACCGGCCATGGCGTGCTTCAGAGAAAGCAGCAGCGGGGCAAGTGGCTCCGTGCTCAACGACCTCGTATCTGAAATATCAGATTCAATTAATTTCGAGTTTTCCTCGCTGCTTCGCGTCACATGCGCTGAGTCCCGGTTACTTCGCCGAAATTTCTATGCGCGTGGGCTATTTCAGTCCATGACTTGGCACTCGCCGATTTTGAGGAAGATTGAGATCTAAAAATGTCAGTGAGATGCTCGAGTCTCGGTCTCGGGACATCATGTCGAGATAGTTCCCAAAAAGTCAGATCCTTGACAGGGAACAGCTTTAAAGGGTTCGAGGGATCTTTCTTTAACCTGACCCCATTATTTCTCGCTGGCGGAAGCGACTTGTAAACGCCCCGTCGAGAACACGATTCATCACGGCGAGGCAAGCTAGTATATAAGAGGCTCAGCAACGCACGAAAGGAGAACTGATGAAATCTCAAATAACCTTTCCAAAACGGTATTTCAGTATTTCTTAATGAAACCAACCGACTTATGAATACAAGCGCCGCGCTGAAACGCATTAGCAGATTTCCATAAAACTCAGACATGCAAGGAAACATCATGAAAATTTATTCAATTCGTGAGCGCTTTCGAGGCGTCAGCAACGGACGGAAAAACCCGACGCGTAAAAATATGCTTTCAACAAGATTACTGCCAAATAAAGGGATTGCCTCTTCAAGGTATGCCCCAGATATTTGACCTCGATTTCGGCATATAATTAAAACCCTTTCAACTTTTTTTTTAGATCGGTGGTGGAATTCCCTTTGAGAGGAGCTGAGCCCGTTCTAGATCCTAACGAATTCAAATTTGAAATAAAAAAGGGATAGTATAATTAGGCTTGCTGAGAAATATTATTCTGAACTATATTCAAATAAGAAACCGGAGGGGATGAGCCTCCCACGACATTACAAGATATGTGCTGCTAAAATATTATCTCTTAGATAATCGTCGGAGAACTTGGATCAATTGTAAAATGGACAAAGCATGGATAACCAGAGAATAAAATTCGATCATTTCCAGACCATTGCTTCTATTTTCATACGAGCAGATTTAAATGAAGATCAGCCAAATTTTAAAATACGTCGCGTTACTATATGCGGCAATTCATGGTTTACCTCGAATTTTCATGAATTTATAAGCAACCTAAATCCTGTCGAAGATCTCACATGCTCCAAACACGTTAATAAGCACGATTTTTTCCCTGATCTGGCAATAATTCAAAACATGATCTTTTCTTGGAAATATTTGTGTTGGCAAAACTGACTTTGAAGGCTTAAATGAGTGAACAAGAAATTATTGAAGTCCCCACACATTTCAGCAAATAAACAGCGGCGTGCTGAGTTATATAATTATAATGGCCCCCACAGTGGTGTGGGTGATTTTTAATCAGATACTCAGTTACCTAATGATCCTCATACTACTTTAATGACGAACGTTTTGAACTATTAGTTGTTGTCAAGGTCAGAAGAAGGCATCAATTGAACCTAATAAAACAATCTACCTATGAAATATAATTCCAAGCTGTCCGATTTGCGATATAATTCGACGGAATTCTCTTAACTGAGAATATTAAAAACAAGTTATATTAATACTGTACTTCCGTTCTTCTTTGGGATGAGAACATTACATCCACTTTCTGGCTGACTTCCGAGTGAACCAACCTTGATTGAATTTCAAGGAGACGGAGTTGGTGTGACGGGCAGCATTTGCGCTGTCTGGGCCCTTCAGTACCCGGGGTTTCAAAAGGCCAATCGTGGGCTGATTTATGAGTATACATAAATTGAGGCATGCAATTTTGGAAATATTATGTCTCAGAGGGCCTGTTAAACTTGCCAGGAAACCCGTCAGGAGGTTCAGATTATGCGAACCGTCAGCCAGGATTTTGCAATCACCGGTTTTGCTGCCGCGACGGTGCAGGAGATTTTCCGCGGTGGTGTAATGCATGCAGCAGCGTCTAACTTTGGCATTGCGCCACACCGGTAAAAACAAACGAAAAAGCGCGATTTCCCCGGGATATAGGATCACCTCAGTGATCTTCTGGGTTCATTGCATCCCAGGGACGACTTCCACAGAAGTGGAACCGCCTTCATGCCGTCGATGCAAATCGAATTTCCTTCAAACACGATCTGATCCTACTTCACGATTCCCGAGTTTTACGTTATCTGTGCAAAAGAAAATCTTGGAATAATTCATTCATCGATTCTGAGATATGGGGAGGGCTCTTAACAGGCGCGCAGAAAAATTCACGTCATCGCGCACCATTATTTATGCGGAACCTATTCCTAATATTAGTTTTGCTCTTTGAGTTTTTGCCGAAAAAGACAGTTTAAAACTGTTTTTCGGCCGCATATTACATGCATTTAAAATATTAAGAAGTTTCCTAGACCTTCGCTAAGTCCTTTATCTTCGAACAAAGTCAAAGTTTCAAAAATCCTGATGAAGTCCCCTGAATCTGAGGCATTATTTTTTAATTTGTTAATCTATTCTCCAGAACGAAGAACAACGAAATGATTCCAATATACGGTACCAAAGATTTAAATAGGGCTCGTCCTTGAAACGGTTCGGAATGCTCGGATGGATCTTTTGGCGTAATCACCACAGAAGTCATTATTGTCATAGAAAATTCGAAAAATTTTGGAAGGTCAAGCGCCGAAATTTATTTTCCAACGCAGTATCCCTCTCAAAACTATACAACGTCGTTTTTCAAAAATGCGGTAACTTTTAACTGTGTTTTGATTTCAGAGCTTTGAGGTTAATTTCATAAAAGTACTATGCCCTATGCTTCTATATACGTCACCTTTTTGGGCGATTCTTCAACAAAAAATATGAATCATTTTATTGCAGCGCAGAAGCGGAAGCTTGATTCTCAGAAATTTTCCTCAACGCATCAATTTCGTCAACTCACGTACTGATTAATTAAATTTTATGGGCATTCTTTCTGTCCGTCTGTCCTGTTCGAGAGATGCTGCTGATTCCATTTATGCTTTTTTGAGACATTATTTTTTCTACGATCGTATCGAAGGATCTCATATGAAGAGCGGAATATTTCATTCGAAAGGCTTCATCTGCGGCTCGCGAAATCGAAGACATGGATCAAATCGGAGAAGATTCTTCCAATTTATTTTGAGAGCCAACAGGAGAAGAGCAGATTTTGGCGATTCGACCCGAATACCGTTCTACGCATTCGGACTTCAATGGCATCAGCGTTTCGAATTGTAATGAAATCTCGTTTCTACCAACAAAAAAGTAAAGGTCACCTGGTAAACTTTGGATGCAATTTTTCGAATTTATCCCGAAGCTTCTACTCTGCAATTTCCTTGTCGACCCGGACAGCTGAATCAACAAATAACGGATGAGTCATCGTCATAGGGTAAATACGCCACGTACGTGAACGAATGAGACAAGACCGGATAAATTGAGGCAATGTTTACTTGGGTCTGGCTGTTACGTTTATCTACCAAAAACAACTTTATTACGGCACTCATTTGATTGCAATTTCGTCGGTTGTCTTTGCTCAAAATTTCATTTAAAAAAACATGGACTCCATCGTCTGAAGCAGGGCATGCTTCCTCGATGAGATTTCCATGCATACAGTACTGTGGTCATCAAGTACCATCCTTGGTTTTGATTCAGATTAAGGGTAAACCTGTGTACTGTATCTCTCTTTTATACATTACAAAAATCGCACCGTATTCAAATTTCCGGTTAGTATATTTCGTTTTGATAGTCTTTGGTACTGAATCTTTTTTTAAATACCGTATACAGTTTTCTAAAAATCACACCAAGCATATCAACATTTCCGATCATTTTATGAGTCGTTGGTACCAAACCTAGCTTTACGCTTCCTTTTATTGACAACCTACGGTAACGTTCTCATTCAAGTCCACCCACAATTTAAATTTATCTTCGTTCCGCATTATAGATGATTTTCTTACGTGCGCTGGATAAAATTTTTAAGTTTTAGGGCCTTTTGACATGATGACATATTACTTTTAACTCGTGAGACCCATATAACGTAGGCATAGACACTTCAGATAAAAGGTCTTGTTCATTTTCGTGAAATATTACTTTTTTACGTGAATAACACTCCACCCAGGCTCCTTTCTCATCATTAACTAAAACTTGTGATTACTTTATATGTTCAAAGCTTTGAAAGGATTTAGGACACCTACAATTCAATGAAAAGGTTCTTTCCAAAATCTTTGAAGACCAAAATCAACTGCTAACTCGATATGATTTCTCATCAAAGATTCTCTCTAAATTGTTCAATCAGCTAAACCTTATCTGAGAGCAGGCTCAACACTTATACACTTTAAATTGGGATCAGTAATTTTCATTTTTTTTACCAGGGCAGGGAAGAAAGTGTATGTAATTACATCACTTGTGCAATTGTACCTTTTGGGATGCTTCTTTCCAACATTTTCCATTCTGATGTGATGGAATGTGCTTGGATGAATGTGGGTGGGGATGTGAGGGGGTTTCGATACGGGAACGTTGCTTGAAACTTGTGAACGATGAAAAGTGGAATATAACGCCTGCTGTTCATTTCAAATATAGCTAAATAACATCTTGAAATCTCAGTGCAGTACCATCACTGCTTGAAGAGCCCTCAAGTTCAACAGAACCCTGCGATGTGGTCATTGAATGGGATCAATCAATGATCCTGATCACTGAATTCACCGGCAAATCGATGATGCAACATGAAAATGCAGACCCGTCTTGTTCCGAGTCAGAAAAAAGATAGCTAAAAACGTTTGCTCCAGGATTTCACTAATTTAAAAAAAAGAGACGCTTTCGCGCGTTAACTCTTGGGAATACGGAAACCCCAGGGTTCGTGCTTGGGTTATCTTCAGCTTCTTTCCGGGTGAGCATTCGACAAGCACTGATCCACAGGGAGCTCGTTGAGTTGAAGGTCATGGGACAGGTTCGACAGAAAAGAACGTCACGGATGTCAAGAGGTGTTGGTCCTAGACTTGATCATGTGGCACAGTTAGATGAGATGAGGCTCAACTTCCTCTTCGAAAGATGAAGTAGGTACAGAACGCTTCACGCGACAAAAGTACTGTAATTCGCAGTAAAACCAACTCACGTCGGGAGCGAGTAAACGAGTAAGAGAAATTGTGTTTCATTCACGGAATCGAGGGTAAAAAAAAACAACTCTTCGTGGCATTACAGTATTCTTTCGCAATCCAGAACGGATCGAGATTTGCCTCGCGAATAGAGTTCCCTTTTGTTCCCCTTTTAAGCACGCGGAAAAGTCTGGTGCATCTTCGGACATGCGTCGATATGCGAGACACGAACGCCGACAAGTAAATAACCCAACCCTGCGCAATAAAAAGACGCCCGAAATGAGCTTAAAAAAAGTATGCGTGGGAAGCCAAATCTAATTTTCCACGAGTGCGGACGTGCACCATGCATTCAGGACAACGCATGCAGCGTCGATCAAAACGAGCGCGGGTCAAATTAACCGCGACCAAATAAACGCCAGCTGTTCCGAACCGAATTGTACGTTATTGTAGAACTTCGTACTTTCCACGATTTTCAAGATACGTGCTGACATTTTCTATCTATTTGATGGTTCGAGGTGTTCAAACTGTGAAAGCTTTGAGGCACGCTTAACACGCTCCTGAAATAATTTGCGTTTTCTTTCCCACACGAGGGGTTTCAGAACTCCACGCTCTGTCATGAAAACGGATTCCACCAGTTCCTTTTAAATTTCATGGTCAACTTGATTGTTTACATCTTTACTCAAAATAATCTCCAACGATTCGATCGCATTTCTCGGATTCTTTGATCCGAGACGCGCCCTACACACACCGATTTTGGCACTTCTTTTTTCATTCTACCGCGAAACTGTCAATTAATGAACATGCCATAAAGCAATCAAAAATATTTTGATTTTGGGTCATTACTGGAATAGGTTTGAACGCGTTTCCCGGATTTAAATTCAAGCATAGGAGTTTTCAAAAATTCGGCTTGCGAGCTTTTCTTCCTTTTGCAAACTTGTACTTGCTCAATTCTATGCTTTTAAAAGCGCAAATCAATGCTGATTCATGTTGATTATTTGAGCAGATTTGGTTTATTTCTTTTTAAAATCTGATTGCACTGAGGCCCAGCTGAAAATCGTGGAAAATCGTCAACTCCGGAATAACATGCATGAATGGATTGGTAATGTATGTTGCCTTGGGGACCAGCAATTCCGTTTTTACCGTTTAAATTTCGAATGGCTAAGAACAAAAAATAAAATAATAAAAAATGGTAAATTACAGAAAAATATTCTGGAATGATCCGGTAGTTCAACCTTCTGTAATTTCTAATTAAATAAAAAAATTGAAATTGGAGTCCGCGGGGAAATCAGTCATTCACTGTAAATTTGAATTGCTCGTCGTGTCTCCAGAGGAGTCGAAATTACTTTATGATTTGAATGTGTCGGTAATCCAGCGGAGAATCGAAATTTCCCTCATTCCTGCTGTTCGTTCGGAATTCCGGAGACCAAAAATGTGCTCTGCAATAATGAAAGAAGAGGCATTTGGAGGCCACCGTTCGTGAAGCGATTAGTTGGAAGTGCTGGCTCGTTGTCGATTACTCGTGGTGGAGCAGAGCCATATGTATAGTGGGAAGCACATTCGTATGAGTAAATAATCACAGAAATGTGTATGCTGCGTGGCGAGCTGTCACGGTCGAAGTCACAGAAAGGCCGCGGCAAATTGGATCAAGCCTGATTATACAGAATCAAAGCCGCTGTGAATTGACCACCGCACTTACGCAAGCTCTCCAGAGGATCGTCGTCATAGTCGTCTGGCTCGTCTTCGTACTCCAGCAGTGCGGCCCTCGGACAGGGTTTCTTCCGGCACTCTCGCTTCGCAGTCTCGGTGCAGTCCTCTCCGCAAGATCTGATGCGCACCTGGAAACCCTGAAATAAAAACCCCGGGACCGCATTTCAGCTTGGCGTCTTTNGTGTCTCCAGAGGAGTCGAAATTACTTTATGATTTGAATGTGTCGGTAATCCAGCGGAGAATCGAAATTTCCCTCATTCCTGCTGTTCGTTCGGAATTCCGGAGACCAAAAATGTGCTCTGCAATAATGAAAGAAGAGGCATTTGGAGGCCACCGTTCGTGAAGCGATTAGTTGGAAGTGCTGGCTCGTTGTCGATTACTCGTGGTGGAGCAGAGCCATATGTATAGTGGGAAGCACATTCGTATGAGTAAATAATCACAGAAATGTGTATGCTGCGTGGCGAGCTGTCACGGTCGAAGTCACAGAAAGGCCGCGGCAAATTGGATCAAGCCTGATTATACAGAATCAAAGCCGCTGTGAATTGACCACCGCACTTACGCAAGCTCTCCAGAGGATCGTCGTCATAGTCGTCTGGCTCGTCTTCGTACTCCAGCAGTGCGGCCCTCGGACAGGGTTTCTTCCGGCACTCTCGCTTCGCAGTCTCGGTGCAGTCCTCTCCGCAAGATCTGATGCGCACCTGGAAACCCTGAAATAAAAACCCCGGCTGGCGTAAAGTCGAACCGCAGAAATTTTTTCGTTAAAGGAGCCGCCTTGTCGCCTTTCATGAGAGCCCGCAAAGGAAGTAGGGGCGGACACCCCGCTTTCGTGGGGCAAGGGCAAGGAGAACCGACCGAGTCGAAATAAATCTGATGCAACATCAAACACGGTCGATGCACGGCGGGATTCAGGATATAGACCACTTCGCATATTCAATTCTGGACACGTTTTCTGGTAGGGCAGATGTAATCGCGATGCGGACGAATCTGCCGGATTGCGGATCGGATTTAGGTCTGATGACTTCGGTGTTCGAACGCAATACTTCTTCCGCATCCGGGGAGAAAAATCTCTCCGGTGTTATGAAGGGCATTAATCCAACAATAACGGGGCTTTTCGGAAATGTCTTGTTTCAGCGTTTTCCCGAAATGTGGGCGCTGTCAAATAAAGCGAGGACTATGCTTGCGCTAGCAGAAAGAAAAGAGTAATCTTTTAGTCCCGCTTTTTGAAAGGCCACAGTACGTTCGTAATTAGGTTGTTATTGCCCTGAGAAGCCTTTAAAGAACGATGAACATTTTCCCGAAAGTTGGACGCTGAGTTTATTTCGCTACTAATAACGAACACAATATCGTATGCCCTTTTATAATTTAAAGATCGAATTGCTCACAATTTAAAAAATTGATTTAAAAAATACGGAAAATCAAAGGAAATATGTTGGAAGGATCCGATCATTCAACCTTGTGTATTACTGTAATTAAATAACAAATTTAAAATTGGAATCAGCTCGGTTTAGTCTGTAGGAGATATATAAACGTTATGTCATATTATTTAAATTTTCCACGAAAGGCCTTTAAAGAGAGAGCTTGCAAAATAACACCTGCGACTCAAATAGTGCGAGAACTATGCTTGTCTTTACGTCTTTCTCTCTTTCTTAGAAGATCCAGGGGAAGCACTTTCCGGTGTCGTTACAGACATTAATTCAAAAATAACTGGGCTTTTCGAAATGTCTTGCTTCAAAGTTTTCTCTAGAATTGAACGCTGAGTTTATTTCGCTTTCGACGCACAATCTTTATTAGAAATAATAGTTTCATATCAAGCTGAAGAAATATGAACATGTAGTTTTTCCATAACAATACTCGAAAGGAATATAGGACTGGTTCCTTCATACAGAAAAAGTATGAGCGGTACAATGGAATACTGTTCTGTACCTCTAAAATCACGTTTTAACATTTTTGCTGCAAAATGTTTTCTGGTCTCGGTCAAGGAGGACCTTCTGTCAATGTTTTCGCATCTAAAATTTAAGTAACTCCCTCGAATACATTCTTTATACATTTACGTTCGTTTTATACGGTTGAATCTTGCCAAGATAGTGCCATTTTCCTAAGTCAGAACCTCCCTATATAATTTAAAATGTCAGTTATTTTTTATCAGTTTCTTTAGTTTAATGAAATTTAAATCTCTATAACTCGAAACTTTTTGGGCCAAAGCTTCCTTAATAAAACTCCTTAGTAAGCCCTTCTGCATGGTCATTCATTCCTGGGCTAAATTAAAAAGACACCTCTTATACAGAGAAAAAAATTTATTCACTTTATCCTCCTCGCAAGGGATTAGACATCTTGCTGCATATAAAACATCTACGAATATATAGTGAAGTTGTGATATTTTGTCTGGAAAATCATTTCCATTGATTAACCCACCCGAATGAAGCCAAATTCTCTAGGTGGAAAGCCCTAAATGGAATTTTCTGGAATTGCTTGAAATTTGCCTTGAGTAGATTAAACTGCATAACATGTTTTAATTTCAGTCCCTTGGGTATCTTTGTAGAGAGAGCTGTAATGGTGAGAGAGAGAGGGGGAGAGAGAGAGATCGCGTACCGTACTGTATTGTAGAGCAAGAGCAGTGTTCCCCAACCTTTTTGCTTGCGGACCGACAAATTTTAACAAAAATATTTTGCGGACTGGCAAATTGTCATAACATTTTCTGTGGACTGGCAAAGTTCCATACAATTTTTGAAGACCACGACACTTTTTTAAAATACCTGCCATAAAGTTCTCAAAGCAAAACTTGTATTGCAAAAATTAAGTAAAGAACTGATAAACAGCTATATATTTTGGAATGTCTTGAAAAAAAATTTGAAAGCTGAGCTGCAAGAAAGGCTTCCAAAGATTCAAAACTGAAAATAATGTATTTCAGACAAGTGAAGACATGTCTGAAGGGTACAGTGTAGTATGAAGAAAAGCTAACTTATATTTTTTCTCAGATGATTTCAACTGCCATTTCTTCTGGATTTTTGGATAATTAAGTATAACAGGCTTTATTACTACCTTCTCTAAATTTAGGAATTTTCTCGCGGACCGGCCAAAAACTTTTGCGGACCGGCGCTGGTCCGCGGACCACGGGTCGGGGAACACTGCTGTTAAGTATATCGTACTGATAGCATTTACTCTAATAATCATAATTCTAACAGAGACACTGATGATGCTGCAAAATTTCTAAAATATGGTTTCACAAACCTGGCCACAGGTGACAGTGCATGGGGACCATTTCGACCAGGCAGACGAGCGCGTTATTCCGGAATGGTGGCCGATGTCGACTTTGAGCCAGAGATCATCGCTGCCGTCGTTTCCTACAGCGGCCGACGCCGGAGACGGCGTCGTCGGCGCCACCGTCACGTTTTTGCGCTCGTGCAGGAATTCGATGACGACCTCAATGTTGGGGTTGATGCCTGATGGATCGTAGCGTTGGCGCTCGTAAGTATCTGACCGCCCGAAACCCGGGTCCGTGTTTGACAGGAGACGGGTCGCCTCTTGCAAAGAGGCGCCTTGAAGGTCCTCCAAAATGACCTGCCTCGACTTGGCTTCCACCAAGCGGTTCTTCTCCGCTACCACGTCTCCTAGTGCACGGCGCACCCTTTGTTGCAGCGACATCCTATTGGTCTGTGAACACCAAAGAAGATCCCATCTTCTTGAAACAATTGTCAATCTGACGAAGTGCTGTAATCGAATATTCTCCCCTTCGCGGAAAGCCGAATGCGATGAATTTCACGACGGAAATTAACGCCCGTCGAAAATTGTCTTTAATATACTGTATGCAATTCCATCAAGGTCAATTACATGTTTAGAGTCACCCGAAACATGTGCCCAAAATGGCTCTGAAATTTATTCACCGATCAACTAGAATATGCTTCGTGTCAAAGGCTTCACTGCTTTTGCAGAAATGGTGGTTCTGGTGATCAGCTTCATGAACTCCTGATTTTACGAATTCACAAGCACAAAATTCGTTTGATTTGAATTGTATGACTTTTCATCGACGTGTCGCTGTCTAAAATAAGGTGGCTCCGAAAAAAAATTGCCGCCTGAAGCACCATTGGCGAGGGAAGTTTAATTCTCAAAAATCGCTTCAACCATGCAATTTGAATCACGTCGAATCGTTTTTTTTATTTCATGAAATTATTGGTTGCCCAGGCTCAGAATTCTGTGATTCAGTTTGTCATAATTTGATATTGTTATCTTCAGAAGGGTATATTGCATTTCCAAAATTCTAAATTTAGTCAATCAATTTTAGATTGAGTGTGTGAATTTTCATTCGGAAAAATTAGCGCATCAGATTTTGTGCGTTATTTAAAAAAAAGTTAGATTTTGCATGCAAGGATGCTCCGACTCCGAGTGCCCGTATTTCGAAAAAATTTCGAAGAGGTATGTCCCCTCTTCGAAGAGGTATGTCTAAAATGCCTATCCCACGAAACGCTTTATAGGTTTCATGCACATGAATTTGATGGCCCAGTCATTTGAGAAATTCTTCCCCATCTTCATCTACACCCAGTTACCCAACTTCGCCATACATTTGAACACAATATTTGAAGCTCAAGGATCACCGGCGGAAAGTTGTAGCATGCTTAGACCAAAGAAAGAGTATGGCATCCGGAATTTTAATTATATCAGAAGGATCTTGCTTTACTCTTGCATGAACAACCATGCACCACAGAATTCATCGATAACTTACAATAAAATTTGCGTGCCTTCGTTAAATAGATTTAATGTATGCAGCAAGTATAATACTGATTTCATTTCGGAAGTTCTGTTATTCAGACGAAAAATAACATTGGTCATGCTCGGCCCGTTCTCGTTTCTCACAGGAATAATTAATTAGATATCCTTCCAGATGAAAAAACAGAGATATTCGACTTAAAATAGCGCCTTTCTATACAGGCATGAAGATCTTTGAATTTTTTATAAGATCATCGGCAGCTACTCCCCTTTGTTCGAAATCTTATCTCAGAATCAAGGTCTCGTCATGATTGGACGTACGGTACTTGCATCAGTTGACGTCACGCCAATTCCATTTGATGCGGTGAATCTTTGCCGAAGGCCGAGTTTGAATGTGGAAGCAGCTTTGAAGGAAAAACTATATTTGCACAGTAGGGCAATCTTTAAAAATATACTCGGGTGGACCGAAATCAAGAAAATGTAAGTCCTACATATATGTATCAACCGATGAGTGTCTCGTATTGGTTTAGAAAAAGTTGACAGTAGAATATAGCAGCGCAGATATTTGGTAAGCCTACCTGTGTTTCCACTTGTAATCATACCTACGCGCATTACTGAAGGTTTAAGTTCGTATTCCAGTGGACAATTTCAGTGTAATAAATGATCCCTGTATTGCATAGTAATTTTTTCACGAAATCCAAGGTTTCAGGTTGTCATCCTCTTTCCGGTGGAATCCATTAATCGCCGCTCACCTTTAGCCAACTTGAGTGCGTGTTTCCCAAAGGAAACTATGTATTTTATGAAGAGATCTGGAGCTGCCACGACACATTTCAATGAATATAGAAAGGAACTCTTTTCAAGTTTTGAAATTTACTCGTTCCACAAATTTACAATTGTGCTTTCAAGCATGGAACGCAATTCTTTGACAAGATCCGCAGCAAATTCTAAAAAAATTATATTTATATTGCTTTAATTTCTTCATTTAATCAATGCTAAGTATAGAAGAAGATACAAGCAGAATCTGGGGTATTTTTCTTGGTGGTGTAATCAGTAGTGGGAATCATCAGTTGAAGTTTGGGTTTTTCAATCTAAAAAAAAAAAAAATGAACCAGTTACCGGCACATGATTATGTTGCACGCTTTTTTTTCACCCTGAAGCTTCTTCGGGAGCGACCTTTTTTTTAATCAAGAGGACAGAGAATTGAAGTGAGCCAATAAACTCAATACAGTAGCACAGAACGTATACAATATAGATTTAGGCCTATATAGAAGAGAAAGGTTTTAGGAAAAGGGCAATTGTTTCGTCCTGCGGAGGAACAGCAATGAATGCCCTGAGGCGGCTTACGCTCCGAGCATTTCCCTCGAAATCTGTTCTTCCGGTGATGGCACTGGCAGAAGAAATGAATGGTTCCCAGAGAGAGTCGACTTTTCCACAAATCCACCTGTCGCGTAAACACAAGGACAGATGATGTACCAGCGAATAATTATGCTTGATTCGCGTTCCATGACGGCTGTCAGCTCCCTGATAATGCCCGAACGCCGCTGAAGTCCCCAGCGGACGCGCGCATTAATTATCGCGATAAGTATCATCCCAGGGAAATGATCGCGTTCATTACTGTCTCCTGTTCGCTGGGGCCAGGTTCTCGGTAACAAGCCCCGGGACTCGAGTTCTTAATCACTTCCGCCGATTCCTTTTTCCCTGCATCACAGCGTCTCCCGTGTGAAATTTTCGTGGGCCAGTCGGGCCGGCTGCAGAGTTACCAACGCGATAACATCACGAGCCTCCGACTCGCGGAGCCGGAATTGGTTGAGCGTGTCTCAAAAGGGCGCATCCAAATCTACACATGCCAGGACACCCTATCTCAATAAAATTCAAGCAAATAAAACCCCATGCGAACAGAAAGTAGCTCAATAAAAATCGCTTTTTGAGGAAACAAGGCACTACGTTTTTTGAAAGCTCCACTTGTACAGTATTAATTTTTGCCGTTTTTCTTTGAATATAACCTCGATTAGGTGGTGGTCTCATGATTTTGACCAAGTTCATGAAAAATCAACGAATAAAATGAAAATAATTGGATAAATTTGACGAAATCTAGCTTTACGTTCCCAAAAAATATCGGTTGCCTTAATTCACATTTATAAGACGACATCAAATTACAGTATTAAAACGTCACGAAGTAAACATTTTCTAGGCAATAAAACATATGTCACAGGACGTGACTCAATCTACGCGGGTGCTTTCGGGTTTGAAATGTAAAGCATGGATATCAGTAGATAAATGCAGACAGGTTTCGTTGAACAAACAAGGTATTCAGACAAACTTTCAAGACGATCAACCGAACCTCGGAAAACTGCATCATTGACTTCGTTAAAGTTTTGTCGGTGCTTGATTTCTAAGAAAAATTTTCTGCACAAGTATTGTACTTCTCGGTACTTCCCTGCGTTTGACACGCCCTATTCTAGAAGCACCGTTTTGATACACGCAATTTTGCTGCACGCCCTCTTCAGACGCATTCAGTGGCTTGCTTGGTAAGCGCGAGTCTTGACTTATTTTCTTGAGCTTTTATTCTTCCGAATAATTACTATCATTAGGATAACCTTGTGATGAAAGTTTCCATGGAGATTAACCAGACCCAACCCAAGTGAATTATCGTGTGTTGTTGAGAAACGATCCTGCACAAGTGCTGTTTCTTGCTCCATAGTCGGTGTAGTATCATATCAACAGAAAATTATTTGAAAGGAGTACCGTACTGCTTTCGGTAAGCGTCGTTTTGTGGCGCAATTTTGTTCTGATGTTGAGAAACGATTCTGCACAAGCGCTGTTCTTTATTCATAAATATTTCCCACAGTATTTCGAAAAATAGCTTACAAGTGTGCTGGTTTTGGTATGCGCCGTTTTGGGACGAGAATTATCCTTTGATGTTGATGAAAAGTTCTGCACAAGCGTTGCTTTGTACTCTATTGTCTATACACCATTTTTAAAACATTGTACAGGTGGACTCTCTCTACAATGAAATTCAAGGGATAAGGAAAGACTCAATTGTAGAGAGATTTTGTTTTAGAGAAACCATATAACAGTGCTACCCAGCACACAGTCTATATATCCAGCAGATATGGGCTAGCCAACAGAGACACTTCAAATGCCCTTTGGACCCTTCTTTGCAATTTTCAAAATCTTGAAAAAAATAATATAAAGTCAAGTTTTTGATGCACAGAACTATATTAAATTTTACGCTATTCATTTAATTAAATGGGAAAATCCAGAGCCTCTTCGAAATAAATTTGCCATGGACAAATTTCTTAAAAGCCTTGAAATAAATCACAAAAAATTCCTGGGGCTTTCAACTGAGAAATTTATCGAATTGCAATTTAACCTCCCACAATTTAACCATCCCAAAATGTGATGGTCGAATTTGCTGGGAGGTTGACTCGCAATTCGACCTCTGCTTTGCAATTCGACCTCCTGCAGCCACTTTTCTAGTGTATTTGATGATGTTTCTTAATTTTTCAGTGTCTCGCAATTTGACTACTTTGCAATTCTGGGGCACAACCTGTATGAGCAATTGACAAGAAGTTTGGGCTCAGTCTTCAAATGCTGTATAAAAACCCTTTGTGAAGTTAAGGACAGGTTTACAAAGCAAAAATGCAACAGCTTTTCTGCTCTACAAATTCGGATTTTTCAAAAGCATCCACATTATTTGTGGCATGCTCTTCCTTTGTTCAGCACATCTTTTTATCATACATTTCCGCAATATATATTTCGAATGGTTGAATGAGATCTGCATTATCGCATTGTTTTTGCAACTGTCATAAGCCAGTTTAAAAAAAATATATATATATATATATATCTTCAATTGCGGCCTGCAAGAACTCTCCATCTCTGCAATGCGGCCCTTGGCCGCATCTGAGTTGATTATCACTGCCCGATACCATGGGAACCCCATATGGGAC